CTGCATCCTGTTAATGAGCTCAGTGGCACCTACAACCCAGTGGAAGCTTTGCTTTTGGTGTGTTGGGTGGCAGGCTTGGGGCACCTGTGTCAAAAGTCTGTGGCTTTGATCTACCCTGAGAGGATGACTGCCTTATCCATAGCCCTGGAGAGAAATCCGTGCTCTTCACTGGCTATTTTTTTTTTTTTTTGCTTTGTTTTTATTTGTGCCTTTTTTTTTTTTTTAAAGACTTTCTGTGCTTCAATCCTTGTTTGTCTAAGAGGTTTTTTCTTATTTGGAAACCGATTTGCTTCGGTTTGCACAGAAGCTGTCTCTGGTGTGATGGATCGTGCTGGAAGTCACCCAAGGAGTATCTCTGTTCCCAATTAGAAGTGGAGGCAGAGCTGCTTGCGGGGGCCCAGGGAGGCGGCTGGCTTGGGTGACAGCTGCTGCCGCTCTGCAGAGAGTAACGATCCGTGGGCTTTATATCCATGTGTATAAAATCAGGCTAATTTAAAGATGAATTATGTGTGTGTTTTGGACCATTTTCTTTTAATGTTAAATGTTTGATGGCTCTTGTCGGGTTGTGTGATCCCCAAATTTGTGTGAGGTTCAAAATGAGTCTGCTTTTAAAGACTCACTAAATCCTCTATCTAGATGAGATGTATTAGAATAAAACAGAATCAATGAAATCCCTAAGGGCTGACTAGGGAGCGTGTCTAGGACATGCATTGTGCAAGAGCTTTGGACCAATTACCTATTTTCCCCCTTTTCTTCTGGACTTCCTGTGGTCAGGAGTCAGAGAATGTACCCTCTGGTGGGGAGGAGGGAGGGCACTCTATGACCCGTTCACCCTGACCTTGCAAACCTTACCCATAGTGCTTGGAAACCAGGGTCAGCTAGAATGCCACCCTGGAATGGCACTTGGCCAGCTCTCAAGTAGATGACGTTAAGAACCATATTTAATGTCCTTCTGTTTTCTGCCACGAGATCATGGTAAACATTACTTTTAATGCTGTAAACCTACCCTGTCCAATGCAATAGCCACTGGCACATGTGACTGTGAAATGCTTGAAGTGTGGCTGTTTTGAGTTGACATGGGCTGGAAGTATAAAATGCACACCAGCATGGTATTTTTTTTTTTTATAAAGACAATGTGAATGAAAGAATGTAAAACATCACATTATTAAAAAAAAATTGATTACATGTTGAAATGATAATGCTTTGGGACTCTTGGGTTGGATACAATTCATTATTAAAATTAATTATACCTGTTGCTTTTTAAAAATGTGCTTAGAAAGTTTAAAATTCTACCAGTGGCTTGCATTCTATTTCTACTGGGCAGTGCTATTGTACCATTAAAAATAGAATGATTTAAAAGCTGATGGTAATCACAAGTAACATTTACAGGGCATTTACAATATCCCATACTCTTTATATATATGATCTAATTTTGAATCTACGTTTCGAATAGGAAAAAAAAAATAGGTAAGCCTTGTTTTCCACACTAGTATTTTTGTGGAACCTTTCAAAGTTTTTTAATGCAGTGTATTTATTACCTTGTTCAATTCTTATACCAACCCTGTGAAATAGTGTGATCATCCCTATTTAACAGAATTTAGGAGATGGAGTCATAGAGAGGTTTAAGTAGCCAATCTTTGGTCCCTTAACATGGCAAGGGGAGTGTTTGATTCCAGGACTATCTAAAAAAATAAGGCTTATATGAGTCAACAAATATTTTGGTAATGGCAAAAATGATGCCACTAAATTTATCTGTGACCCTGGGGAAGTCTCTATATCTTTCTGTGTTCCACTTTCCTCATGAAGGGATTAGGCCCTGTTGGAGGTCCTTTCTTTTTTTTTTTTTTTTTTTTTATTGAAGCATGTTTTATTTATTTATTTGTTTGTTTGTTTGTTTTGTTTATACATGCACTGGGTACAGTCAGAAGCACGGGAGGGTGAGAGAACCCACCAGAGCCAGAGCAGGGAGCAGAGCAGGCAGAAGGACCGAAGTACACTGCTGAGGGGAGCAGCGGGCGGCAGGAGAGGTCTGTCGCGCCATGTGGGACCCTCCTCCGGTGGCCGGGGAGCAGCTGGGGATCGAACATGTGCCGCAGAGGCCGCGGGCAGCTTCACAACCCAGCGCTCAACCGCTGCGCCACCGGGGAGGCCCTGGAGGTCCTTTCTTGACCTTTGCATATAGGAGAACCCATTTCACTGTTGTGTTTTTGGTTTTACTTTCTTTCCATTCCTCAACTGTGCTCATCTAGTAAAGAACCAGAGGACCAAAAGAATAGACTGAGTGGATTAATAGAGTAGATTGAATTATGGGAAAGCAGGACAGAGGAGTATTTAGCAGGAGAGGAAGAAGTCAGAAATGGAGAAAAAAGAAGCAGGAGGAGGAAGTTCACCATGGGTGGAAAATTCTCTGTGGAGTCCACACTGTTGTGGAAGGCTGGACAGCCTACGGGGATACTCATATACAGCAGAGCCCTGAACTGTGACCCCAATCTGACCTCAGCCTCAGCAAAAATCAACATTTTATTTTAATATATGGAAAATCTAAGAATGCAGGCAGGTGCACAAAGACTTGGAAAAAGACTTTTTAAGGAAGGAAAAAAAAAGAGAGGCAAAGTAGATTCCCACAGCCTAGAGATTAAGCGAATGGGTTCTGGAGGCAATTGGGGTCAAGGTTGGACTTTGCCCCACCAGTTCTATGATAATAAGCAAGCTCTAAGCCTCCGTAAGCTGCAGTGTCCTCGTGGAATGACTGCTCACCTTTTGGGTGACAGTAGGCATCTGACACATAGCAATAACAGCCTTGCAACAATAACAGCATGTTCACTGTGTGCCAAGCTCTCTATGTGAACACAAACACACAGTGACCTTCGGGGGCTCAGCCTGGGCCTGTCAGTATGAATATGAATACAACAGGCTCTTGTGATCCTAATGGCATCTTGGAGTGATCGTTTGGCTGCATTCTATTTTAGTCTTGCTGTGTGGCTTTCTGTGAAGTTACTTAACTTCTCTGAGCTTCAGGTGACTCATTTATAAGATGAAATGATTAAAGCAGATTATCTCTAAGGCCTTATTCAACTTGAAAATGCTGTGCAATTCTGGCAATAGGATTTATTTGGTGTTGAGAAAGCTAAGGGGGTACTAAGAAATGAACTTCAAATACACTCACACACACAATAAGTTTGAGAGATGGTGACCAGCTGTTCTCTTGACTGAGGACAGGACATAAGGCAGCATGCTTTGTTTTGGATTAGACATTTGGAAACCTTTTCTGACTTGGGAGGAAGAGTAATCTGTCATTGGAGAAGGCTCTGGAGTTGTGCGCTCTGAACTCACAAAAGTAGAGAGTTGACTATTTTTCTGACATTCAAATGGAACTTCATCTTACAGCCTACCCTGACCCTTTGATCTAAGTAGATCGGAGTAGATCTGGTGTTTTTTTTTCCCAGAATACTTATGACAGTTTGTAATTACATATCTATTTTGCCATTTAGCATTTAATGTCTGTCTCTTTAGATTGTAACCCACCCAAAGCTAAAGGCTGTTATTGGCTTGGAGTCAGGCGTGGAATTGCTGGGCTTCGAGGTGTCACTGGGAGTCTTTGTTTGATTCACCCCTTGTGGGTGCTCCAAGCACAGTGGCTGTGACGTTGCAGGTTCTCAGTAAATACTCCTTGAAACAGTAGCTGGCAGATGAGTTTCAGACATGGATGATTTGGTGGCAGTGCTTCTTGATGGAGGTGCATCCTTTGCTTACCATTTTTTGGTTAAAAAAAAAAAATCCCAAAGACCTTATCTGTAATTCTCCACAGTCAAGGGACTTTTCCTGGGCCTGTCACTGGGATGTATGTTTCTTGAGTGTGGATGGCAGGCAGCCTTTCCTTGTGGATTGGAATGATGGGTGAATGAGAAGGAAGGAATTTCCATTTAAGTCAAACTAGAACCAGGGGAGTAGGGCTTGCTGGTGCTGGTTAGTTCCATTTCCTCCCCCAGATCTACTCTCTGTCCTTCCCACTGCCCTGTGCCCTCAAAGCTGACCTTGGTGTGTTGGGTCATCAACTGGGATCCTTGCCTTCTGGTGTCTGGTTGGGGTTGACCATTGGAAGCCATTGGGAGCACACTGGGTGGCCATAGATGGAAGGAGAAAGAGACTAGGATCTTTTGTCTTTTCGCTTTGGTTCTCGTGAGTTCAGAGTAAGAAACAAATCTCCTTTGGGTTAGGAATTTGGGGTGTTTCTGGAGAAAGAGGTTTGGGGTGTTTATGGAGACAGGTTTCTTGTGGGCAGGATGGCCATTGCTCAGATGGCCCCACAGCCTCCAGTCCCAGGTAGCTGATCAAACTTCGATGCCTTCAGAAAAAATGACACAGCGTACAGCTTTTGCAACTCCCAACTGTTGTCCAGGGGCCTGTTTGGCACCTGTGCTCTCTCTTTCCTTGGCTATAGAAACCTTTGCTTCCCTGTTGCTGGACTCCCAGTGTGACCAAAGTGGGGTGGGGGGTGGGGATCATGGAGTTGCCAGACAAAAACTGTGATGGAGGGAGAGAATAATAATAATACTTGAGGCCTTGGTGTATTGCTTTAGACTTTTCAAAGATATATAATGTAAAGGAACACATTTGTGCCTGACAAAACATCTGGCCATTGTTATCTTCACTGTGGAAAAGAGTTCTGCGATCCTCAGAGGTCTTGCCCAGGGTCTGAGTGGCTGAAGCAGGGACTGAGACTGAGCCCCTCTCACACCTTGTGCACCTTGTGCCCTCTCTGCCCTGCCTCATTTGCCTCCAAGGATGCAGGCAGGGTTGGACTCCACGTCTGGAATTGTGAATTGGAGATGGGGGAGCTGCACCCATCTACCGTGTTCCTGTTCTGCCCAGAGGAAAGAGCGCAGCCCATCTGAGTCAGACCCAGGTGCTTGGTTCCCACATCCCTTCCAGGGTTATCCTTCTCGTCTCTCCTGTTCCTCTTGCTTTGAGTGACCTGACTTTCTGTTTTTGTTTTCCAGAAGTGGAACTGCCCCTGAAGAAGGATGGATTCACCTCAGAAAGCACTACCCTTGAAGCCTTGCTCCGAGGGGAGGGGGTGGAGAAGAAGGTGGATGCCAGAGAGGAGGAGAGCATCCAGGAGATACAGGTATTTCTGGGCCCACTGTGGGGAGACCACCAGAGCACCCCCACTGTGCTTCCAGAGCCCTGCATTGGCTGCCATGCTCGCTTGAGGGTCAGGGCTGCCTCTCAAACAGTTTCATGGCACTGTGATCCGGAAGCTTACAAATTCCTTTCTGATCTAAGGTGACCCCCAGAAGAAGTCATTGTTCCCTTCACATCCATTCTTCTCCCTTCACCTCCCTGTTTATTCATTCAAGATGTTATTTTTGAGCCTACAGTGCATCAGTCCTCATGTGCTGGACACCATGGTGAGCAGAACAGATTGAGTCTTCACCTGATGAAACAAATAGTTCATGGCCTGGCTTGAAACCTCAGGGTTATCTGCACCAGCTAGTCTTGAGCAAGTCCCTTCCTTACCCCTGCCTGGTTCCGCATACCTCTCCCTTGGCTTGGTTGACCTGGTGTCTCAGTTTTTCATAGCACTCCCCACCTTCCCTTCAAGGCCAGCTTGGAAGTTTCTGGTCAGGCAGGGTTGGTTACTTCTGTTTCCGTGGCTCCTTCCCTCATGAATAGCACTAAGGAGGCTCTTATTACCAGCACTACACTGGCGTGCTCTGTCTGTTCCTTATTTATTGGTCTTGAATCCCCATAGCCAGATGCAATGGTTGGCACAGAATATTATAATATTAATACAAATACTAAACAATAACATTAATGATTAAACAGAATTTAATTATTTTTTTTTTCAAAGAGAACTTTGGTATCTTTATTTGAGTAATTCAGGTAAAACAAAGAAGAATATGAAATATTTTGAAGATTTCTCAAAATATTTGAACAGAATTTAATTATTAAAATTAGATGACACATATTTTATTCAAATTTTATCTTTTATGTTACATGTATATATTATAGTATACATTTATCAGTTTTATTTCTCATTTAGTATTAATGTATTAATTCATTAAAATGATCATTACATTAATAAAAGTTAAATTTTTGTGAGTTTTGTCAAGTCAGGGGCCCTGAGGGTTGTACCCTGGGGTCTCTCACTTACCCAGAAAATTCAGGTCCCAGTGAAGACCTGGACAAATCCATGAACGTGGCCTCCTTGTTCAGATGACTTGTCAAGTACTTTCCATTTAGTTGCCACGACATGGCTTGTATTGTTCCCTCCTCTGTTTCCCAGGAACTACCACCCTAGTCAAGATCCTCAGTGTTTGTCAAACACACCATCGAGTCATCTTCCACACTGTCTTTCTCTTGCACCCAATCTTCAGTTTATCAGGAGTCCTATTGACTGCCTCCAGCCTAAATCCAGAGTGCACCTCCTCCTTACACATCCACTGCCAGGCCCTGGTCCAAGCCACTCCTGCCTCCTGTCTGAACTCTGCCCATTGCTTTCTACGTGGCCCCCTGCTAATGGTGGAGTGGGAGCCCTTTAGAATCGAAGTCAGATTCTGTCATTTCTGTGCTCCCACTCTGCCAGAATACAAGCCAGGCCCTGCTACCTCTTTCTGACACTCTTTGCTCCAGGGTGACTTCTTTGTGCTACTCTGAGAACATGCCAGGCATACTTCTGCCTGGGGGCCCTGCCTCTGCATCCTCTGCTTGCAGAGTCCTCGCCCAGATCCTCACCTTCTCCCAGTTCTTGCTCCTTTTCCTTCTGCATGAAGGTTCCCTGACCGCCCTGTGGGAGACACACCTGGGCACTCCTGACCCTCTAACTCTGCTCTCCTTTCCCTTCTCTTTCTTCTTCTAGCTCTTATCACCATCTAACATATCTGTAATATAATGATTTTATATATTATTGTTTATCTAATTCTGCCTGTTTTGCTCACTAATCTATCTCAAGCACCCTGGATAATGCAATGTAATATAATGTAATGATTTATGTACCTCAAGCACCCAAACAGTGCCTGGCACATAATAGGTACACAATAAATAACGAATGACTGCGTGAGTGAGCAAACGCTTGTCCCTGTCCTTTCTCTTTCTACCTGTCCTGATTTGCTATCTGACTTTACATCCCCAAACAAAGCTCTGCCTGCATCATGCCCTTGTTTTAAACACTTAGCTAAAACACTTTTGTTTTCTACTAAATAAATCCCAAAAGATGAGCATGGCCTTCTTGGACATCTGGCTCTGCTCCTAGCCTGGCTTCAGGCTTCCCCCCTCACTTCTTTACCTCTTCCCTCTGTGCTGTGGCCATGCTGTGCCTTTATATCCCTGTATAACAATTTGCTTCCATCTTCATGTGCAAAGATTCCACCATCATGCAGGCTCAGCCCCAGTCTACCTTCCCCATGAAGCCTTGCTTGGTCCCCCATAGCAGGAGGGATCTCTTCTTGTCTCTGGCATGTCGTGTATCTAGTACTTTCTTCCTTGTTTTTGTTTTTGGTCTATTCAGGAATACCCCCTCCCCCATTTTTTGAGTTTTGCATATTTTAAGTCAAGGTCTATTACACCTGCTTTGCCCATTAGAGTCTTTTTGCTCAGTTACTATAATTTGTCTGAATTTAACTGAATCTGTGAGTGGGACAGAATATTGCCCAGAAACCTGGATGTGGCAGTGACAGGCAGCCCTTCCCTTTGCCCTTATTGGGGGGTGGGGATTGAGCTCTTCTGGGCAGCCTTGAGCCAGTACATGAGTCCTCACTGTTGACTCATCTTCATTATCATCATCCCTGTGATGTCCACGATGTGCTGAGATGGTGCTAGAAGCTGAAACCAGGACCTTAAGTCAGAAGAGTTTATCTATCTTTACTGGCTTTATGTTATTAAAATCAAGGGAATATGTAGAAAGTGAACTACATTTGTTCATTTTTCATTCATTCATTCAACCAAAGTTTGTTGAGGGCCTCCTGTGAGCAGACACTGTGCTAGGTTCTGGGGAAACTGAGAAACCAAGAGACCTGTCTCCTGCACCCCTCCTTGAATTCTAGTGTGACAGAAAGCAGTGTTCAGGCAGAGTAACTGCATTTCAGGATAAATACCATGAAGAGAACAGAGTGTGAAGAGTTAGTGTAAGAGGAGGGACAGATTCTAGGTAGTGCTCTAAGGGAAACCAGGGACTTAACCTGAGTCCTATGGGATGAGGACGAGCCAGCAAAGTGTGGATCCCTCGAAGTGCTTTCCTGGCAGAGAAACAGTGTGCTTGAAGGCTTGAGACTGGTCCACATCCACTGTGTTGAAAGAATGGGTAGAAGACTGACTGGAGTGCCTGGAGCCAGGGACAGCAGGACTGCGTATGGATTTGGACACTGAGCAGGGAAGAGACCATTCGGGCCGTGGAAGAGGCTCTTCGTTTCATGGGAAATTAAAAAGGACGTCATCGGAAGGATTTTAACCAGAACAGTGCTTTTGTTTCATGAAGATCCCTCTGGCTGCTGCAGGGAGAGGAGATGGGATGCAGGACCAACAAGTCAGTTATGATTTTCAGAGACAGTGGAGTCTTTAAAAAGGAATTCCTTCTTCTGCCTTTTTTCACCCCCTCACATAACCACAAACTTTTGTTATCAACACTGTAAAAACTGTTTAGAGAAACAGGGAGAAAAGTTATTTTAAAATGTGTTTATTTTCCAGATCATGGTCATGGACAGGGAATATACAAGCATGTGCCTGGGGGATCGGCTGCATCTCCAGTTGAACTCCCCTGCCCTTTGCTCCTAATACAGGATGCTCCTTGCTTCCTGAGCCCCAGATATGAGCTGTGTGTCAGGAACTCCTGGTCTTCCAGTTATGTTGAGAGGCCTCTAGGGTCAGGGCCACGTTGCAGGAAATGCACATACTCTGGGTGGCTGCGACTCCATCTGGGCTTGGGGCACAGGATAGAGGCTCTAGGGACCCAGGGAGTCCATGGGAAGAGGAAGGGATGGAGCCGAGGGAGAAGGTGGCGTGGCCCTGGACATGAGGCCAGGCGGCACTCTGGGGACCGGCTCCCTGCCTTCTCTCAGTCTTTTGCCTTCCAGCTGAGTCCATCTCTCAGGTAATAAATTCATAATAAAAAATGAGAGTGGAGTCAGAATTGTACTGAGATGCCAGAGGCAATGACCTTTAAATTGGAGGGTTTGGAAACTTAGCTTGATTAAAGGACTTTCAAGACCCAGAAAGTTTGTGAGGTGGGAATACTAGCAGCGACAACAGGGCTAGTAGCAACGCCTTGCTGTTACTACAGCTTCTTAGTGAAGGCTGCAGAGCATGTGACTGGTCATTGTCTTACTTCACAGTGGCTGGTGTTTCCACCTACAGCCACAATGCAGAGAGGCTCGCTCTGGCCTGAGCTGATGTTTCCCAGTAGGCAATGCTGCTGCTCTATTAGATGGCCAAGCTTGACCCAAACACTCATAGGTCCTGTCAGCTGCTAGTTCCCTAAGCAAACCTGGTAGAGAAGTAGGTATGTTCTGTGTTCTTTGGGAGGTTGGTAATTAGCAATATCCTGACCCCTCTGATTGGAAGAGAACCCTCTGACTAAAGACAGTGGGGGAAGGTGGCTCCTAACTTATTCTTGGGTTTTGAGGTATTCGTTGTCCAGAGGCACATGGGCAGTGGTGGTGACATCAGACATCAGGTAGTATGTGCTGCTCTCTGAGCCCTTGCATAGCTGTGACGGTCAGTGCACACCACCATCACAGGATAGGTGGGTGCTGCTATTCTGTATAATGTGATGCTGCTGCTGTTTTAGTCCTATGTTATGCCAACCTCTCCCTGAGCCTCTGACTTCTGGTTGCACTGGCCTCATGGACAGGCCATGTCCCTCTCCCTGCTTCAGGGAGTTTGCTCATGCCATTCCCTCTGACTAGAATACTTTCCTTCACTCTCTCCCCAGGCTCAGGCTAGTCATTGCTCATCCTTTACATCTCAACTTCCTTAGGTCACTTCCTCAGGTAAGCCTTACCAGGTCCCTGGATTAGGTAAAATTCTCTTCTGCGACTCCCTCCTAGCAACTTGAATTTGCCTGTCACTGTTTGTAGCAGTTGTAATGATATGGTGTGTATGTTGTTTAAATCTGTCCTCCATTCACTGGTCTGTAGAGGCCACTTGAAGCCAGGACTGTAACTGTGAGTTGTCTGACACCATACCTGCCATTTGTCAGCACTAGACAAATGTTTGTTGATTGAGTGAGTGAATTTCTGTTTTATAACCAGACAAACAGGCATACAGAGAGGCCACACAATGAGCCCATAAAGAAGTTTCAGGACCGCTGACATGGAATCCAGTGAGCTCCATGCCTCTTCATGCTGGGTCTGGGTCTCCCGTCACCATTTTTTGTCCCTCACTTAAACTTAGAGTTACATACCTTTTCTCCCCTTCTCTGCTTCCCTCCCCCAAAGAAATGAAGTACTCAGGCCCCTATAGGAATGGCCTGCCATGACATACCTTGGAATTCTCAGACACAAGAACTGAGAACTGAGCGGGAGAATCTGACCTTCCTTTAGCCGTGGTTTTGCTCTATAACCTTGAGCAGTCCACGCTGTTTTCAGCCTCAGTTTATTCACCTGTAAAATGGAAGTTGGATTTTCTGCTGCGGTGTGACTTGCAGGGCTGTTGATCTTTAGGTGCCATTACAAATAATGTTCTATTTTAAAAATATAACAGTGGATGCTTATAAGCAACACATTAATGTCAAATTCTGGTCAAATGAACAGAAAGTTACTTGTTTTCATCAAATAGGGCAGGGCTGCAGAGTGCTAGGGGAAGGAGAAACATATTTCATGTTTTGGAGGTGATGCTTTAGGGAGAAAAGGAAAATTATATTGAAGAAAGTTTTGACAAAACACTTGAGCCCACATAGGAAACCACCCCTCCCAGAGCATTCTCTTTTGAGAAAATTCTACTTAGGAAAAGGTGGTTGAAAAAGGTGTTTGTTCTGGGAGGGCCTGCCTAGGAGGATCCTGTGGGTTTGAGAAGAGGGCTGGTACCACCCGAGTCCAAGTCCTGGCAGCATCTTGGGCACCTGACTTTTCATGCAATGGCAGGGTCTTTGCTTTGTTAACAAACAACAAGAAAGCAGAACACCTCCACATTTCCTGCTGATGGATTTCTCCTTTGCATTTAATCTCTCATACATCTACTTGTGTTTCTTGTCATTTCAGAGGGTTTTGGAAAATGATGAAAATGTGGAAGAAGGAAATGAAGAAGAGGATTTAGAAGAGGATATTCCCAAGCGAAAGAACAGGACCAGAGGACGGGTAAGCTGGGACCCCATGAGGGAGGGAAGAGGTCATAGAGACCGGGCTGGGCAAACAACTGGCCCCAGACTCCAGGTCCTGCTGCAGTTAGCTAAAGTTGTAGCCATGATCTTCCTTGCAGAACACAGCTGGTTCTCAAATAACGCTTTGTTCAGTGTCATTTAGTTATAATGTTGGTGAGAAAAAAACAGCCTTGGTTGATATTGAATGAAATGACTTTATTTAAGGACCTTCTTTCATAATATACATCATTTTGCTGAAAGTCACACTTCTCAAGAACCTTTTGATGACCTAAAGTGAGGATTTTCTTATTAGGAAAGAAAACTCTGGAAGAACCCTGAACCCAGGTGATATCCTGCAAGAGTTTAGAACTTGCAGATGGCCGAAGAGGCACAGGAAGATGAGGGTCGGGGAAGGTGGTGGGGTGGGGTAGGGTGAAGGTGGAGGACGAGGGAATGTGGCTGTTGCCTGTGCTCCTCTGTCATAAAAGAAGGTGCTGAAAGTTTCCTGTCCCAGGGGCTGCCCCAGACAAGCAGGGTCAGGAGTCTGCTCTGGAGTACCCTTGACTACACAGAGTATGTGCCAGCTGGGAAAGCATGGGGGCCATAGTGAATGGCTCCCAAGTGGGTTTGGCATGAACCTTGCAGTTATTCGGGCCTGGAAAGTGGCAAGGAAAGATCAGAAGCCTGGGAAAATGGCAGAGGGGAAACCCATGGTGGAAGCAATAAAAATATGAGAATAGTTCAGGAAGGGAGGAAGCTAAGCCTTAGTGGTGCATTCAGGTGGGTTCTCCAGAGTCCTTGTGTTCCAACCCAAAGAGGCTTTCTGTGGTCACCTTCAGGGCTCTGCAAGGGTGTGACTATTACCAGGTAAAGGGTAATAGCCTCCAGGGTAAATTGCTGCTTTCCATCTAGAGAATGAACTTGCCTTGGCCTGTCTGGCCCTTCAGGCTCTAGGCAAGGCCCTTACCTTGGTTCTTGGGCTTTCAGAATCACCATGAGAGCTTATCAAAATGTGGTTCCCTGGGACCCACTCTTAGAAGTTCTGATTTAGCAGGCCTGGGAAGCTCTCTGATTAGCCAGTTCTTGGGTGATGTTAATGTGAGTTAATGCCGCCCACCCTTAGCTAAGGTGCTTCTAAGATGTGATGGAGAGTCCTTATATGTTATAGTTACTGTCCAGCTTCAGCAATTATCAGCATTTTGACCATCTTCTTTTATCTGTTCTTTATTCCCACTTTTTGTTGGTTTGTATGTTTAACTTTTTTTTGTGATACTTTAAAGCAAATCCTAGACATTTTATCATTTAACTTGTACATACCTCCATGTATTTTGCTAACAGATAACTTTATAAAATTCAATAAAAAGAGCTATTCTAGTATCTACTATCCATTCTGTTCATTTTCTCCTGATCTTATAAAAAATGCTCCTATTACAGTTGGTTTGTATGAAACTTAAGCCTCTTTTACTCTATAGCATGTATGTTCCTTGCTCTACCTACTGCATACCTATTATTTTTTTTCATTCATTAAATTTATTTGTTGAAGAACTTGGGTGGTTGGTCTTATGGAATTTCTTAATCTAAATTTGGGTGGACTGGTGGAATTTAATATGTTCCTCTATCTTCATTTCCTTAAAACTGGTGGTTTGAATAAGCCTTGATTCAGATCAAGATAATTGTATGTAAATATTATGGGCAAATGTTTCTTCCTGGTGGTGATGGACTCTTCTTATTACATCACACCGAAAGGTGTCTGTTATCCAGCTGTTCTGCTTTCAGTGGTTCGCCAGCTGATCAGTGGATTTGGGTGTCAGGCTGATTTCTACTTAGGAAGTTGCCCTTCTAGGTGTCCTCTAAGTGTTGTAATGCTCATTGAGGAACTTGCCTTGACCCGTGGCTTCATTGAGGATTACAAAATAATGGCCATGGAATGTTACCATTCAAGGTTTTAGAATGTGGAATTTTGGGCCTTTTGTGAACTCCAAGACTGTGTGCCTCCAGACTTGCTCCCTTCCCTCCCTCATCCCAAACCAAAAGTATCAGAGTAGATTGTGAGGAAGGTCTTCACGTCTTCACTCCCAACCTGAATCTAGACAACTGGACTCTCAGTCAGTGAATATGACTTCGCTGTAAGAACACCAGCAGGAGTGTGGCCACGGCTGTTTATGTTTTCCCGGTCCTTGCTGTACACCAGGCCATGTGATGAGGCTCTAAACATAAGAGTTGCCGTGTTCAGTGAGGACTGAGAGCTGTATACTGTGTTTTCTTTTTCTCCATGCCTTTTTAGCGCACACTTGCTAATATTAAGAGAATGCAGAACATCTCATTTATATTTTTTTATATTGATTCATATCGAAATGATATTTTGGGTATATTGGGTTAAATAAAATGTTATTGAAATTGATTGTACCTGTTATTCTTTTTACTCCTTTTTTTTAAAAATAGCTACTGGAAAATTTAAAATGACATATATGGCTTACATTATGTTTCTATTGGCCAGTGCTGCTTTGCTGCTTCTTTCATTCCCGAAAGTGGTATTATTACCCCCAGAGAGGTTAAGTAACTTGCTAAGGGTCATCCAACCTAGCAGAGAAGAAGGCAGGGTTTGAATGCAAGTCTGTGCTTTTTTCTGCTAAGTCAGGCCCAGCCCCCTGCCCAGCATGTGGCCTGTGACTAATTTTTTGAATGAATGATTGCATGATGGAAAAAGGTAAAAAAAAAGTGTTGCACTTCAGCTTCATGGGAGCTGAGAGGCCTGAATACAGTGAGGGGGCTGGATAGGGACCTCCCAATGCTAGCCAAGAGGTAGCTGTGCAGTGACATGTGGACACGTCTCCCATGGTGGGAGCTGTGGCAGGCCCTGGAAGGGTGTGGCTGAGCTTTCTGAGATGGAATCAGGTACAAAGATGTTTAACTCACAGACTCAATTAAGCCACCCTGTCAAGTGGTATGTGCAACTGGACTAGAAGTCTAAATTTTTTTCCCCATGTAATACTAATATTACGATACAATCTTATATAAATAAAATTGAAATACTTAAAAAAAATAAAGTAGAATATTTAAGCTGCTGTTGGCTGCTTCAGAACAAGAGTCCCTCCCATTCTGTGGTCAGGACTGAGGGACAGTCAAGGTGCAGACGGTGTGGTCCCCTACTTCAGCATTAATTTCTCCCCAGAGCTTGCTGGACATGCAGGACCCCAGACTCCACTCCAGCGGACACCATTAGAGCCTGCACTTTAACACAACTCCTGTGATTTGAATGCTTATTGGGGACGCTGAAGCTGAGGCAGTGATAACAAGGACAGTTACTGCCTTGTTTGAACCTGGGTTCAGATCCCAGCTCTACCACTTACTAGACTAAGTGAATTATGTAACTTTTATGGCCTTGACTACATGATATAAGTCCTCGGGATCTCAGTTCATTATCACTATTATCATTAAAATGAGGGTAATAATCCATAGCTAGTTTCGAGTACTTAAAAAGACTAGATATTATTAAGAGGGTGCAGGCAAAGGGAACATCTCTTGGAGTCTTGGCAGTGGAGATTCCCTGAGATGTGAGGGAACTTTAGGTCCAACATGGAATAATTGTGTCTGTGGTAACTTTAGCTCAAGAAATCAGAGTTCTTTAAAATTTATGAAATTTCTGTGAGTCATCCATGTATCATCCATCCATCCATCCATCCTTCCATGGAAGAATATTTATTTATGCATTGTGGCATAGTTGCGCATTTCTCAAAATTTAATGTGCATGTGACACACCTGGTGATCTTGTCAACATCTGCAGATTCTGATGCAGAAGGTCCATGCCTGGGCACTGAGGTTTTGCCTGGTTAACAAGTTCGTGGTGATGCTGACACTGCTGGTCTGAGGTTCTCACTTAAAATAACAAAAATGTACAGAGTGGTTCTCAGCTTCTTTTGGGCCCAGGAATTTTTTACTTAAAAATACTAGGGCCCCCAAAGCTATTGTTTCCATGGGTTAAAACTAGTGATACCACATTAGAAATCAAAACAGAAAATATGTTAAGACTTCACAAGCACGCAGGACTATGACATCACCATGGCATGTAACCTCCAGAAAACACCACGGTGCACTTCTGAGTGAATGGAGGGAAACATTTCAAATAACATTTTAGTACTATTACAATTGCAGCCCTCCCCCTCCCACCACCAAAAAAAAGGATCAGGGATCCCTTGACCACTAGCTCTATGAATCCTGGTTGAGCGTCTTTTAGTTGCATAAAACTCGACGGTTAAGCAGAGCTGGGATCTATTTGAAAAGCTGCTGGGCTGTTCCACATTTGAACAATTTTTGAAGATTCAAACCTCAGGCAGTATAAGAAAATGGTAGAGTTTTAGGGTTGGGAAAGAGTAAGGAACCAAGGCAACGTCTAGCATCCACTTTTCCACTGTGTCTTCTCTCACACAACTGCCTTTCCTATTTCTCTCTGCATATGGCCTGATATTGAGGCTTGATTTAATTGGTTTCTGGCTCAACTGGCATTTATTAAACATTTCTTAATCCAAGTATATGGGAGGTAGAATCTCATTGGCTAACCTTGCGTTAGGTGTCTACTCCTGGGTCAGCCAACTAGCTGTGGCCAGTGGGGCAGCACCATGTAGGATCATGGTCTCCAAGACCTACCAGTGTGTGAATGGGAGGTGGAGTATGTTGGGCAGTTCTCAGGGAGGACTGATGTCTTTTGGACAGTCTACTTAAAAGTTTTCTATGACAGAGTCTAGAAAGCTATGTCCTGCTTCTTCTAGTGGCTCTGTGACTAGAGCAGTCACAAATCCCCTTTAAACCTATTTCATCCAATGCCAACTGGGAATCAGAGCATTCCTTGGCCTAACTCAGGGCATCATAGGAATTAATTAATATATACAAAAGAGCTTTGGATGCTTTCTGCCCAGTATAGTGCTAAGTGTTGGGGGTTCATAATAGAGAATGAGATACCATCTTTGTTCTCAAGGACCTTTGAAATAAATTGAGGAGAAAATACTAATAGTCATGATGCAATTAGAAAGCAGTAGACTTCTGACTGTGCACTAAATGCAGTAAGGGACAGAGAGCAATCAACATGGGCAAGGAGGGGAAATGATTATTGAGCACGTCCTGTGGATAGAGCACTGTCCTCTGTGGTTTCACACACCCTTTGCTCTAACAGCCTCAAAAGCTCTGTGATAGAGGTGTTGCTTCGTCCATTTTATAGCTGAGAAAATTAAAGAAGTAACTTGTCCAAAGATACATGGCTAGTGTTTAATCCTGTGTCCATCTTTAATTCTGATGCTCTTTTTTTACTCCTCCGTGTGACAAGAGAAAGATTCTTGGAGAAGTGGGAAGTGGCAGACTAGCGCATGGACAGAGGAGAGGCTGGCCCATGATAGGGATGGACAGAAACAAACATGTTGTCATAACATGAGCATGCGGTGGCCCTGGTGGACTCCACCAAGTTTCCGTGAAAGTGTCCTTGGGACTTAGGTGGCAATGAGTGAATGAATGAATGTGTGAATGAATGAATGACCCTGGGTTCCCTGTCCTTCATTTGTTTTATCTGATTCATCTGGGAGTTGTGCAGGATGGATTGGGGAGGGCAATACAGAGGTAGAAGCCCGGCTGGCGGGTTCTTTGAGGAGTTCAGAAGTCAATTGATGAATTCCTTGATTCAGATGTGGAATAGAAGGGAAATGCCCACGATGACCTTTGAAGGAGAAATGATAGCACTTGAATATAGAGCATGAAGGAGAAAAAGTGACGGTGATTGACGCACTGACCTACTGATTGATCCATTTATTCAGCAAACGTTTATTAAATGCTTCCTCAGTGACTGGCCCTGTGCCAGGTTTTGAATATAGTGGTGGCCCAAGTAGACATGTTCTCTACCCTTATGTGGGGAGATGCATGTGTAATATAATGTCAGATGATGCCAAGTGCTGTGATGAAATGTAAAGGAGGGAAAGAGAACAGGTAGGGGGCATGAGTGGAAATAATTGGTCAGGGGATGGGGGCTTCTCTGAGGAGGTGACATTTCAGCAAGACAAGTAGGAGCCCGAGTTTCAAAGCTGGAATATTCCAGGAGACTGAGAGAATAGTCACACAAAGAATCCTTTGCTGATCCCCTCAAGGTCCTGTGACCGTGACTCTCATTTTGCAGTTGAGGAAACTGAGGTGCAGGGAGAGTGTGGGCACATGCAGTCAGCCTTGCAGAGTGAGATTAAACCCTGGCTCTCAGCGGCCCCCCCATCCGCTGGTGGCTCCCCCCCAAAAGTCCTTGTGCTTCCAGCCCCACACATCTCCTCCTTTTCTCCCAGCAGTATTTTTAGTCCCTCAGAGCCCCTTCCCTGAGTTGGTTGTTGCCTCCATCATTCTGCTTGACTTGCTTTCCACCTGCTTCCAGGCGGCTGTGACAGGGCCTTGGGCTGCACCCGTCAAGCTGTCCCTGGCTTCACTGTGGGGGCGTGCGTGTGGGGTGAGGGCAGCTGGGGGTGACCACCCTTGGTGTCGTGGTGTTGCTGGCAGGTGGCCTGTCAGTGGCTCGGGGTGACTGCTAGCGCCTCACAGCTCTCTCCTCAGGTCAAGTCTGAGTCATGAAGGTGAAAGGAGGGGGCTGCTGGCTCTTGCCTGCAGGGCTGGGGGTGGGGAGGCAAAGAGAGAAAGACCAGTGGGAGGAGGGACAGAGCAAGGTAGAATTTTGTAATAGGTATTAGAGAGAGACAAGCTGAGGAGGTGGTAGAGGTGGTAGGTTGGCAGGTGGTGTTGATGGTGGGGTGTGTGTGTGTGTGTGTGTGTGTGTGTGTGTGTGTGTGTATTATCGCTGGCCTGGGTGCAGGCCTTCCCACTGTGAAGTCCTCAGTGAGTATGTGTGAGTGTATGTGTCAGTGTGAGTGTGTGTGAGAACATCTTGGGCCTTTTGACTGTGAGGTCCCGAGGGAGACTTTTCCAGGCCGGACCCCTGAGGCTGCTCCATTGACCCTGCACTCCATTTTGCTGCCATATTTTATTTCTTATCTGTGGTATCTTTCTCTCTGTCCCCAAAGACCCTAGCAGGCCTTTTCCTGGGTTGGGAGTTGACTGCACTTCACTACCAGAGAATGACCTAAAGGAGACAAGGTGTTACACACGTGACCAGTGTGGGACTTACAAAGGTTTAAAAATAAACCTTGCTGATTTCTCATAGCCACTATCCTGGGGCTGCAGAGCTACCAGCTTCTTCTCTGGCTGGTCTTTGCTCTTCATGAAGGTAGAGCTCTTTCCACCCCCCCACCCCAGGCTACACCGACCATTTCTAGAGATGTGTTCAGGCTGTTGGGATCAGGAGTGCAGCCCCAGGAAACTGTGAGGTGTCAAGCTCTGTGTTGCTGGCGGAGGCCCGAGGAAGACCACAGAGGAGGCCTTGGCTGAAGCCTTTCGCTATGGGGTAGGCCAAGTGGGGCAGGGGACTTTCCACATGGCCAGATTCATGCCTTGGACCTGGATGACTCGAGTGACTTGAGGGGAGCTCTGCACAGGGGAGCTGTGTGATGACTGCACTGTTTGCTCCCAACACACTCAACAGATGGTCAGCCAAGGGGAGTGGGCTTGGCATCTTCACGTGGTGTCAGTGCAGCTAGAAGGCCTGGAAGCTGGAGGAGTGGAGTGTGTGTGTGTGTATGTATGTGTGTGAACTTGGTACAGGCTTTGGAGTCAGACTGTCCTGCTCTGTGTTGGTAGCTGAGCCTCTTGGGGCAAGCTGCTTAACTTCTCTGGTGCTCCAATCTCCTTTTCTGTAAAATAACAGTAGTACCAACCTCTGAGATACTCCAGGTGTATAGAGGGGTGACCTGAAGCAAGTTACCTAGCCTCTCAGCGCCTTACTCTTCTCACCTATAGAATGGGGTCGTTATTGGCACTGCTGCAGATTGAACGAGGAGAAACAGGGGAAGGCTCAGGGTCTCACAGGGCGCATGTGCTGAAACTGTAGTGATTGTCATAATAACAATTGTCCCTGTGCCTGTGTCTCTCCAGGCCCGTGGCTCTGCAGGTGGCAGGAGGAGGCACGATGCCGCCTCCCAGGAAGACCACGACAAACCCTACGTCTGTGACAGTAAGTACAGATGTGCCTTCCTTCCCTGGCCCTGCCCCACCCCCTGCTCTTCCCTGGCTGCCAGCCCCCAGCCTCAGGCTCACAGGTGGCTCCGCTGGGGTCTGCACCGCTGTTCCCATGCCTGCTGCCCTCACCACCTCCTCTTGCTGCTGCTACTGTTCCCTGCATTTCTGCATGAGGGAGAAGCAAGTCGGGGAGGCCTTTGGTGCCCTGCTCCTCTCTCTGGCAGTGCCCTCCTTTGTGGCTTTTCTCCGACTCTCTTTACTTTGTCTCCATAAGATTCATCCTCTATTTCTTTCTCTATTTCAGAGAGTTACAAACAAAAGCATAACTCAAAATCCTCCGACAAAGGTACTTGGCTGCTGTGACTTTTCATTTGTTTCCCTTTCAGTTTCTCTGTCTCTGTCTCTCTCTGTCCTGTCCTGGGTAGGGCAAATTATGAATCTCTGATGATGACTTAGGTTCATACATGGCCCTCAGTCCATCTCCAGCTCTTCTTGCTTGCTTCCGAAATGTCTTCTGCAGGGCGGGCAGGCAGCGGGCGGTCCTGCGCAGACCTTCAGCTGTGGAGGGATGGCCGCCGCGCCAGCGAGTTGCTTTCCCACCTGCCAGAGCGCCGTTGGTGGGGGTGAAAATCTTGTCCTAGTTCCCTTCTCACTGTAGCGGGCTCATCTGCTCATTCCATGGTGAGGACAGCCCCCAAAGCCGCCTTCCCTGCCCCTCTTCTCCTCTCTGAGGTCGCAGGGGGCTGCAGCGAGAGGACCAGTGACACCGCCGAGGCAGGACCCTGCACAGTGGCACCTCGGGGTCATGCCCGTCTTGCCAGTGTCTGTGTCTCTGAGAAAGCAGAGCCTGGAAAAGGTGGGCACAGGACATCTGGGTGATGTCCCCCCCTTCACTAGCCTCTTTTGACGTCGAAAAGTTGTTCTGTGCTTTGTTGCCAACTCCATGACCCTCTTTTGGTTGCTTAATACACCGTGCAGGTGACACTCCTGAGTGGGCGCCTGGAGGTGACATCTCCATCCCAAAGCCATTCTGTTCCAGGAGTAAGAGGGAGCAGAGCGTGGGGTCTTGGCCATATCAGGAGGCGGCTGCTTGTGTCTGGGTCTAACTTCCTTAACGTGGTTCAGTTTTGTTCTGATGCATCAAACCTAAGCATGTTAGCCCTTGGAGGCTGGTTCTGGGTGGTGAGGGCCCCGGAGACCCCGTGGAGCAGCCACCGGCTGTGCCTCTGGCTGGAGCAGATACCTTGGGAATGCTCACAGCTACTTCAGAACTGGGACAGTGGCCCTTGATTTGTCTTTTAAACAGCTTTATTTTCATGATGTGATTGTCTGCTACCGTAGATAGTGCTGTTGTAGATGCACCATCTCTGCCGCTCTCCTTGGATTCTCAGCCAATAATAATTCTTCATATTCTCAGACACACCCGTGCGCCCTCCTTCACCCAAGCTCACGTCCTGCCTTCGCTCCTTTGCCTCTGACGTCTGCCTTCATTCTCATTATCTCCACAAAGCTCCCTTTACGGATGTCTCCCTCTTGCCTGCTCCCCTCTTTATATACAAAGTGCTTGCATCACGGCCTCTCCCCCATATTCCTGTGGCTTTGTTTAGGGGGAACTTAGTGCCATTTGCTATTTCCTGTTCCCCTCCCCACAGGCTCTCTTCCTCCTCCTGTTTACCATGTGCTACTTGGGAGTCTTGATGGCAGGCCCGATGTTGGCTTTCTGGAAGTCTCAGCCACTGATTTCTTGGCTCTGCCTGCTCCAGTGCTGCCTCCCTCTTCCTCCCTTGGTGGAGCAAGATCCCCTGTAGATTGCCCTTCTCTGTTCTGGCTCTCTTAGGAAATTGTATGGCTGCTCAGTGATTAATAGATTTATTTTTATCTGGTGCCCTTCAGATATGTGATCCTTTGGGATAGAAATGACCTTTGGAGAGGTCATGAGGCCCATCCCTCCACCCTTGAACTGAGCAAGGAATGCTTTTAATAATCTCTAATGCATCCTAAGTAGAGAGGTGTCTGGTCACCTCCTGGAATGTCCCCTGGGATGGTGTTACCATCAGCTGCCCTTTCTTCCATGTCTCCAACTGTGCTTTTGAGTGATTGTTTTCTCCTTAATAGGAGCTGAGAGTTTCCCCTCCTATGGACCCTTTATCTTTGGTGCCTCTTTTCCTAATAAGTAGGCATAGTCAGCATTTTGTCTGTTATGGAGGCCCTCTTAACATCCCTGGATTCTTAGCTTACTCAATGCCACATCCCATAATCTCTGTGGTGGCTTGCTGTGAAGTCCCTTCCAGGTTTATATTTAAGACCAGCACTCCCAGTGGAAGTTATGCCAAGGCCAAGTGTCTCAGAGAGTAACAGACACATTTCCTTGTTTATTTTACACATCAGCTCTTAGCACAACCCAAGTGTAGAGAATAGACATATTGGGCCACCCCACGGCACTGTGTACCATCTCACTAACTTCCACACAGTGCCTGCCCTGATCCCCATGTTAGTGCCTCTCCAGGTATGTGTTCTTTTCTACTTATGCATTTGATGATTCCTTCTTCCATAAATCACTCTACATTTGGCACTTTGGGGTTTCAATAAAGAGATATAATAATATGTGACTTCAATATATAGGATTCAATAAAGGCAAATTTAAAGACATTGACCAGTACTTAAATTTCATTGTCCACGCAGTCACAATCCTTGCCATTTTTGTATCATATATGGTTTGATTTGCATAATCCCCATTCCATCTTTCCCATTATTTATGATAAAATTAGGCCACCGTGGACCCTAGCACCTCCTTCTGGGTTTATATGGAGAAGCTATAGCTATTTTTCAGATGTGATTGTATTTAACCCTTCCCAGTATTTGTTCTTAAATACAGTTGTCTTACTATGTTTAGTCCAAGCTTCCCTTTCAAGATGGGTGGTTGAAATATTATCCAGCTGCTAATGTAGGTGATGGATAGTTTGTCTGTTGCCTTTCACTCAGCCATTGAATTTATTCCCTCCCAGAGAACTATTAAATCATCTGGACATAATTTATTTTTCACCCAATCCATGGTATGTGTGTAGATGAATACTTGATTTTCTAGCAAGTAACCAATCTCCATTAATTATTCTGATGTTTACCAAGTTTAGGATGAGAGTTTTGTCTCTTCTCTTTTGATTTCTTGCTGAAGGAGAGGTGTTCATTACCCACAAGCAAAGCAACAACATGGCTTTGTAGGGAAGTTGTCAGAGTTGGTCAGAGTCAACATGGACAACCTGCACAGAGATAACCTAAATGTTTGTTAAAATGTGGGTTCCCTGGCCTCCCCACAGAAGCTCTGCATCAGGACCACTGCAGGCAGGCTGAGGAACCTGCATTTTTGAGAATTCCACAGGGGGCATTTATGAACACTGACTTTTGAGACCATGGTCCACTTCATTCAAATGCAAAGAGTTAAGGTCTCTGACTGCTCAGCCTTTTTATTATTCCCTGCTTTTTATGTCTGGAATTTCTAGAGTCTCCAGGCATTCTCCAGGCCGGGTGCCATTGGTTTGCACCACTGTTTTACTTGGTCTCTTTAGAATTTTTCCTTTCCAGTTCTTTCAGCATTGATATAAATCTCAGCAGTCTAATATTAAATGTAGCAAACCAACACTTGACTTTAATTTACTTAATAAGTTTAAATCCTAACAGTATCATTAGCTAAACTTTAGAGGTGGGACGGTACCTGGGGATAGATACCTGAAAGGAATCGTTGGGTTGAATGACTGGGGTGTTTTAAAAATCATTTGAAATTGCCTCTTCTCTTCCTAACCTGCTCCCTACCCCAATTTTCTGTTAGCACCATTGGGCCAGGCTTCTGATGAGACTCCCACTTTTCCATTTTCTATTTCAAGGAGCATCATAGGAAAGAAGGGTGGTGGTGGTGGGGGGGTGATACTCAGGGAGAGGGAGAATGTTTTGTCTCCAAGCATTAGTTATTTTAGGAGGAACAAATTACCTATTTGCTCTTTTGCTGGACACAGTGGAAATGATTTGTGAGTTTTTTTCCCTCCTTTTTGGTGTTTTCTTTGAAAATTAACAAAAATTTAAATTTAATTTTATTGTGGAGTGTATACATGGTATAAGATCTACCCTCAACAAATTTTAAAGTCTACAGTACAATGACATACAGCAGATCTCTAACTCTTATTCATCTTGCTTGACAGAAACTCTATGCCTGTTGGCCAACAGCTTCCTATCTCCCCCTCTCCACGAGCCCTTGGCAAGCACCACCCCATCTTTGATTCTATGAATTTGACTATTTTAGATAGTTCATAGAAGTGGAGTCACGTGGTATTTGTTTTTCCTTGATGGCTTTATTTCACTTTTCCTCATTTTAAAGGCTGGATAGTACTCCACTGTATGTACACACCGCATTTTCTTTATCCATTCATCCATTGATGGACCTTAAGGTGGTTTCCTTATTGTGAACAGTGCTGCAGTGAACACGGGAGTGCTAATATCTCTTTGAGATCCTGATTTCAATTCTTTTGGGTAAATATCCAAAAGTGGGATTATTGGATCATAATGGTAATTTTTAGTTTGAATTTTTGGAGGAGTCTCCATGCTGTTTTCCAAAGCAGCTGCACCATTTTGCATTTCTACCAACAGTGTGCCAGGTCTCCAGTTTCTCCACATCCTCACCAACACTTACCTTCTGTTCCTAGCTTTTCATGATCATAGAGATAATACCTGCTAATAGGGGCTTACAGTGTGTACAGCACTGTCTTAAGCTTTTCTTTTTTTTTTTTTAAACTTTTTTTTAAAGATTTATTTATTTATTTATACAAGCACTGGGTACAGTCAGAAGCACAGGAGGGTGAGAGAATTCACCGAGCCAGAGCGGGGAGCAGAGCAGGCAGAAGGACCAAAGTACACTGCTGAGGGGAGCAGCGGGCGGCAGGAGAGGTCTGCGGGCCATGTGGGACCCTCCTCTGGTGGCCGGGGAGCAGCCGGGGAGCAGCCGGGGAT